TGACGTTCAAACCTGACTGCAGCATGCGCTGGTAGTAACGCGGTTCTTCAGTCGCTGGTACTCGGCTCGCGCCACGCCCTGCAAACTCGGCGGGGAGGCTGCGCAGACTGTCTTCGTGCATAGTCCTGGCTTGGGGGCGCGCTCCTCGGAGGATGCGCGGCGTAGTCAGGTTAAATCCAAGTTGTGCGCCGCTTTGGCTTGGTTATTGGCAACCAACGGCACGGAACGTTTTTTTTTTTTTTTTTTTTGCAGACACCCGACGTTTTACCTCAAGCTGTAAGAGCTTCGCCGAAAGTTCAGTGAAAAAAAAAAAAGGTGACTTCCTATAGCAAGGCAGTTTCGCAAGAGTGCAGCGCATACGGTCATTCAATTATGCGAATACCAAGTGAACCAGCTGCACATTCTCTGATTCTAATTTCCTAACAGCCATTGAAACAGCATTTTGAGCTGCTGAAATAACCCATATATTTAACGTTGGCTTTGTACTTCTCTTGGTTGTTGATTTTTTATATGTATAATTACTGCTTTCGTTGTATAATCCTGTGTTTTGTACTTTTGTTCTAATGCTGTACTAGAAGTGTTGATTTCTCCTGTATACTGTAATGCACGATTTATTTGCTTTTAATTTTGCTATTTTGTATTCTATTTTCTACTGTAACCCCCCTACAACAATGCCCAATGGACGATGTAGGTACTTGTAATAAATAAATAAATAAATAAATAAATAAATAAATAAATTTAAACTGTCTTTCTGAAAACAGTCACAGCGGAGCTAGCGTGGCAAGTAGACATCGTTGATGAAGAGGTGATGATGTTTTTCGTTTGCATACTTCGATTGGTGTCGCTCTTCCTTTGTTTCCCACGCGATTCGCACTCATTTGTACGGGAATTCGTGTTCATAAATTTGATTTCTTAACCTTCGGCTGAACTTTTAGGCATTTGTTTTGTCCCTGCTATTCTTCTTCTGTCTCCGACTCGCTTTGTCGTGAATAACCCCCCACCTTTACATTTACAATGGTCATGCCTGGAAACGTAGCCGCTTTCTTATTTGACTTTATTCAAATTGGTGAACGAAAAAAAAAGGTCGAGCTTATACCAGCATTAGCATTACAGTGTAAGTTACAGTAAGCTCACTAGGGCTGCATCTGTCTCGTTTGGGGCATACCTGTTTTAGTAATGTCAAAGCCACTACAAGTGTTCCAGACAGGTTGATCTCCAATGTGCTCCCAGGAACTGAAGGAAACAGCAATGTCAAATGCACTTCCAAGATTTTTCGAATTGATTAAAACAAAAAAAAAAGCTTTTCTTTTGTAGCATTGCTTTCACTGTGTAGCGTCCCTTTTTGCAGTGAAGCAAACTTGCAGAGAAACATTATGGCCCCAATGTTTGAGACGGAAAACAACTTAAGCGTTTTCTATTTATTTGAAAATTCACTAAACAGGGCCTTGTTCAACAGCAATAGAAAATTATTCTTCTTAAGATGAAGCTGCTATTCAAGGCTTTGCGAAACAAAAAATATGGTTATCGGATGTCACAGAAGACAATGGAAGTAAACGACAGAAAAAGCTAAGACACAAGAGAGTATTTTTCGTATGATATTCTCGTGATGTTTTCCTAAATAATTAGCACTGAGGCGTGCTCTTACAAAATATCAGTTTTGTTATACGTCGTCTTTCAAGTCAGGCTGATGTATTATCACTTCCTTAAATAACATTTGTTGCCATCGGAATTGTTCTACGTCAGACACGCTTAGAAACTTAGCTACCAAACAGCTAAGTTACGCAGAGTCTATATCACAGCATATCACTGCACTGAAGGTTAGTACGCCCTAAATATCTGTGTTTGAACAAGAGAAATAAATACTCAAAGCGCAACTTTTGCATCCAAGATAAGACAAACTTCTATAAGTGGTGTGAAGCACCTAACAAAACGACAGTGAATTCCCGACGCTAACCTCAAAGAATCTCTTACACTGCAGCTTCATCCTGGAGCTACTTAATCTAAAGCTTTTCTTGCGCAACGTCAAACACTTAATTTGAGAACAGGCTCCTTCCTTGGTCCTCATTAGCAGTCCTCCTACCCAGTGCGGTGACGTATATCTGCCCGTATATATTTGCTGTACGTCGCGACGCAGCACCGCTCGGGCATCTCCCTCAAACGCGCGGCGGTCTCCCTCCGCAGCCCGCGTCGTCTATCAAAGCCACTTTTATCAGCACGATTCCAGGCGGGCTGCAGCCACCGCCTTAACCTCGGTGCAATGAACGACTCCCCCACCGCGTGAAACGGTGTTGGGTGTAGATAGCGCGCACCAGCCGAGCCAAGCCTGTAGCCGGCCTGAGCCAAACCTGAGCGGTCCGTGTGCGTCGCGCCTGGTCCTTCTTGCTTCGTCTCCTGTTGTCCTGAGCCAAAGGAGCCCGAAGCTTTTTTCTTTTCATCTTTCTATCTCTCCTACTTCTCCTCCCCCACTTTTTTAAAGACGCTACGCACCAGAAACGCTCCAAAGTTGCTTTCAATGCGCACAGCAAGTACTCGCTGAACGCCGCGGCTGTGTCCTTACTTGCGGCTCCCTTTACTTGGACCCACGCAGGCTCTCTTCTTCCAGGACGTTCCACCCACCTTCCGGCCCCCTTCCCGACTCCGCTGAGTCTTCTACTTCAAAAGTCTGTCCACG